AAACTTTACATAAGGACTTAAACATGCTTAGATCTGGTACCTGTGACATTATTAACTTGGAGCTTAACTTCATACCAGTAAACCTGACATCACACTTTAATATACTTTACAGGAATTACATGAGGGCATTATTAACTTGAAATATGATCTCATGGGAATATGGGAACATTATGGGAACAGTGTTTACATTATGCAGTGCACCTGGTCCTGTAAAATGGCTTCATACTCCTTGGCTGTTATGTAATCATGCAGAGCAGTCATCAGACCTAATGACTCACATGAGATGTATGACCATGTTTACCAGAGGACCTTAGACACTGTAAATGAAAGGCCTTCTTTTGCTTTTATCAAAAGTAAAATGATGAAAGGAAGATGATGCTTGACAATTCATCATACTATCATACTACTACTACATGTTTCCCCTTCATATTACCATATGAATCTTGTCACATGGCTATTTCTTTGAATACAAATGGTTGGTCTTGACATAAATTCTTTCATTCATTTATATATATATATATATATATATATATATATATATATATATATATATATATATATATATATATTGTTCAGACTGGATCTGAGGTGGTGATTTAATTCTGTGGTCATTTTTGAGCTCAGGATGTTGATGTGGTTTTTAACTACCCTATTAAATTGTCTTACAACTACAGCACCCTGACATTAATTTCCCAAACAAAGAGATGAAAACAGAACATACTGTATTCACATGCACATACACAGATATAACAGACATGTGTGGCCTTGCAAATGTTAAGGAATACAACCTCCATAGCCTGGCATATTCCAGTTGTAAAGGGGGAAACATCTTAATAACCGTACTGAAAGCACACATTCCCAAAACAGCTGCGTGAGCAGCTTGAAACAGTGCAAAATACCATATGACAATATCTTTTAGAAAGAAAGTAGTATTGAGCATTTTGTAATTTCTTATTTCTCTGTTTGTTATAGATACTATCGTTTCAAGTATTTTTCCACTGCAGATTATCTCACTACTGGTACCTAAAAAGTTTCCATTTCTGTATTTCTTTCTCCTTCTTGCTTTTATAATGCCTCTCTACCCTGTTTCTTACCATATGTGCCCCTCTGTACTCAATCCTCTCCCTCTCCTCATAGCTCAGTTGGTTCCTGTTTGAACCACTATGTACTGGCATAGTGTTACAAGTGACACTGGATCAATGATGCTGGAAATGACATCTGAATGATGTGACTGAGGTCATAAATTATCCCTCAGAATACTGCACAGGACAGAATCTTCCCATCAGAAATGCAGCACCAAGTTTAGGAACTGTTCCTGAGTGCCTAACTACAGATTCCCAGAAGGACTGCGTTGTTTAGCTTTGTCTGAGGAGTGGTGCAACACACACACACACACACACACACACACAGATATATTAATAACAGTATTACAATATTACACAATTTCACTGTGTTTATATTGTTTGAGTTGTCTAACTATGAGGTTTTAGAGTATGGCTAACATCAGGATAAAATGCGCATAAAATCTTAGATCCTAAAAATGCTCCTCTGTGTCCTTTTAACACTGTGGGAAATTAAGAATACAATCTGGACTGAACATTGTGAACTCTCTACTATGCTCTCAGTTAAACTGAGAAATCCAATTCTAGCATTTATTAGACACAAACATCATGAACAGATAGAAAACAAACAGATAAAACACCATTCATAATGTAACCAAAGCAAACTTTATATTTCTATGTGCTTTACAGTGCTTTACTTTGAATGGCAGTGTCATATAAGAGGCTTAACAAACACAGGGTAGACAAACATAGAGAATTATGGCATGTCAAAATATGTACTGTGGTAGAGCTTATGAAATCCAGTATATGTTCAGGCTGCTGTAAACCTATATATCTCCCTGACAATTTGAAGAAAATATTGACTAGTATGTTTTGTATGTTTATAAATACATACACTGTGTCTGTGTGGCATGCAAGGCCTACATTAAAGTCTGTATCTATTTTGATTTGAACTCTTTGCCACATACATAATTTAGAATATCATACTTGCTTAATGCAAAGAATTCATGCAATGGCCTACTGTTGATCCTTTAAGCTTATCTCCTGATGTTACTTTTAACATGCAAAACTGTTCTTTACAGAGCAGTGCATGATGTGAAATATACAGTATTCATCAGGCTATGCAATTAAGGCAAGTTAGGGTCTTTGTCATTTCATACACATAAATTGCATAAGATGTGTGAATGTGTGAAGATATGTAAAAAAAAAATTTGTAGGTCTACAAAGTTTTTAAAAAATGGAACTAGTGATACCCCCAAGCGTATATCTGTTGTACATTCAGTGTGCATCTTTTACCTGGAAATGTGAATGTAGTGTACATAGTGTAGCGTCGTATAGTGCAATTGATTTGAGATGCATAATTGGACATTAAGGAGCAGTGTTAAACCTTTAATTAGTTTTTAGAGTAAAGCTGTAACAGTATACTACATATACCTTCCCAGGTAAAAGATACATACTAAAAGTACAAACACTGAAGTATACTGTATGAAGTGAAGGATTTTCCCACTTTCATATGGTATCTGTTTACCAGGCTTAACAGGATTACCACACAAATACAACTTTGTTACTGGATGTGTTAAATTAGCCACAAAAATCCCTTAAACTTTGAATCTTGCTCCAGATACTAGATGCTTACCTGAAGTTACATGGATCATCCCAGTGAAGAGCAGTTTACCTCAGTTATACTGCTAGAATAATTCAAACTGCTTCAGGAACTAAGGAGAAAGTATCTGCTGAGAAATGGTGCTCTATAAAGAAAAGCTCCACTCACTCTATAAAATCATGACATTTACAAGAGGAATTACACAACTCAACTCACCATCAAGAACAGTTTCCCAGCACCCCCGTTGTCTGATATGAAGACTAGAGGAGAAATAAAGGTTTTACTGTTGATGCACACGTAAACTAAGGAAAAAAAAGTTTTGCTAGACCTACCCGACTAGACGTCTGCACTGAGCAGCATGCCATGTCTGTGATTTAAATAAAATTTTGTTTAATTGGCAGGGAAAACTTAAATCTGCAGGGACTCAAGGACTGTAGTTAGGAATGTTTGTTTTCAGATCATATTTCTCCAGCTTTCCTAATATAGATGCTACTTGCCTGTGTGGGTTAATGTGACCCCATTTTATATGCATCTACAACTAATGGGAGACACTATAAGACTGTTTTGGTAGGGTACTTGGCAGGAATTTTTGATCTCTTTCCATGAGAAAATAGTTTAATGGGTGAAAAGTGGTTGTGTGGGTGAATTAAACTTAGGCCTTTGAGAAAGAATAAACTACAATAAAACAAACATTATATGCTGATGGAATTTCTCTTGTACTGTCTCTATTCTCTCTGTCTGCTTGGCAGTGAGATCAGAACTGAATAAACTTTGGACCATTTTTTTAACTGACAATGCAATTTTGAACCAAGACATGAAATATCGCTAAGAGCTGGGATGTTCAAACATCTACATCCCCTTTCACTCTTAAGTGCTAACTATGTGTCTCTGAGAGTGTGAGAGAGAAGAGAGAATATTCTAGAATACACATGAATATATTATTATAATGAATACAACATATGAAATTATGCAATGACCAAGAAAAATAAATGTTACACCAAACAAACTTATTAACAGTTCTGAATTAACAGTATTTCAAATTTGCACAGTCTTGGCATCTTATTACCCAGCTTCATGACGGAGTCACCAAGGAAGCTTTTCTTAAAGTTCCCAAAATAGCAGTTGAAAACTACTGGTTTACGGAAACAAATTCTTTTAAAGTTAACAACTCACTTAACAAGTACTTACCTACTAAGTACTTAATTAACTACTAAAATCTACTTCCAAAATTTTGATTCAGAAGCAAAATTTATGCATGCACATTCATTTAAATATTTACATGTGTCTTAGAAACAAGTTTCAAACAATGCCTTTATCGGAATGTTTTTAAAGCAATGAGACACATATATTCATTATAGTGTATCTTTTGACTGCTAGTGTAAATGTGACAGAAGCCTGAGTGCCTATAGAATCTCACACCATTCCTCCTTCAAATGATGAAAACATGTGAAATGCGTAGTCCTTAAATTAAAAGGAACACTTTATGACAGTGTAATTTTGACTTATATATTTGTGATTATGTGATGTAATTTACCTAAAGTTGATTATGGTATTAGAGAATAGTCATTAAAGATGTTATCATTCCATAATCTTTAATGATTACATGGGGAAGCATGCTAAACATTAAAAAAGACACAGTGTAAGGAGATCTAATTGTGAGAAATGTACAGAGGGAAAGTGTGGATTTGAGTTTCTCGCAAGGGCTGCAGTGCTTACAGGTATTTGATTGGTTGTGGGACATTCTTTATAACAAAGAAGAAATTCAAATTAGAATTAAATGACATTATTAACCAGCACCGATAGACATGGTTGCCTTGTTTTGAGCTCATGGGATTCACTTTGTTACCTTCACTGTAATTTTGTTTGACATCATAATTTTCTGAAACTTCCTTCAAATGCTATCCAAGGTAACAGGGTAGAGTAGATAGGATTTTCGGTGTATTACTACCCCTTTTGTTATCAGTGCTTCCTAGTTATATGTATAGTCACTCTTATTAACCAATAATACTCTATTGCATGTTTGAACTCTCTCCCTTTCTCTCTCCTTTATCCCACTCTGCCAGGGCCAGAGACAAATGTTATACACTTTTTTTTTAGCTAGTGTTAAGACTTCAAACCCTTCAGGTCAAGGCAAGCTCTTTCCACACCATAAATCTTTGTGTTATTCTAACCTAAACCTCAAGGTTACACCTAATGTAATCTGGAAGAAAGGCCAAGAGTCTAAACTTAATGGCCTTGTCTCTGTGCTCATAAGATTTGCTACAGTATAACAAATCATAAACGACAAGGTAAGCATATAATCATATATAAACTGAAGTACATTTCTGAAAAATGGGTCCCTGGAAGACTAGTGGTTAGGCCACAGCGGTCTCACCGCTGCAGCTTGGGTTCAATTGCCGGCCAGGGAACCAACCTGAGCCACTGGGTTTGCGTGCAACAGTGCACTCTCAGTGCCAGTCCCAAGCCCAGATAAAATTGTGGAGGGTTGTGTAAGGAAGGGCATCTGGTGTAAAAACTGTGCCAAATCAAATAGGTGGACCAGTGATCTGCCGTGGCAACCCCTAATGGGAGCAGCTGCAAGAGAAAACAACATTTCTGAAAATATTATGTGATACGTATAGTAGACATATATATGTCATATTTGATAGCTGATATTCTCTATTATTCCCTATTTTTCAGTAAAAGCTGACATTTAGCGTTTATTATATTGTTAAAAATCTATTTACTGACTGACTATCCATATGTAATGAAAGGGGAGGTAAAGAGGGACACACAATGACATACAATGCCTTGCATAAGACTTCTCCTACCTTGAACTTTTTAACAAACTGTATTGTTACAACCTGGAATTGAAATAAATGCAATTGGGATTTCTTCCATTTCATTTTTTTTTGTGACACACACCCAGCTCCCCAACCCGAAGCTCAGATTGGATGGAGACAGATGGTGAACAGCAGTTTTCAAGTCTTGCCACAGATTTTCAAATGGTTTGAAGTCTGGGCTTTGACTGAGCCAATAGCATATTCAAGTTCTTAGTACTGAAATACTCCAGTGTAACTTTGGTGGTAACAGTGTAACTTTGTCACTTTAACAGTCTGATAAGCTCTTTGCACTACTCACTTTACATCTGCACTGTTTGCACTCTATCTGTTGTGCCTTGTAGATCTACATTTATACTCTATTTATATGTATCCATTTGCATTTCCATTTGTATTTTTACATCTTTTTTTTGTGTGTGTTATCTGTATGCATCTAGGGTCTGAGAGTAACATAATTTCAATTCTCTGTATGTGCTGAACATGTGGCAGAATTGACAATAAAGCAGACTTTGACTTTGACTTGACTTTGAACTTAGGGTCATTGTCCTGGTGGCAGGTGAACTGCCACGCCAATCTCTTTCAGGTTCTTTCTAGGATTGGCTCCATTCATCTTGCCATCAACCTTGATCAATTTTCCAGGCCCTATTATCCTATTAAAGCTTTGCCACAACATGGTGGGATGGGGTTCAACATGTTTTTTAAGCAAGCTCACATGGCTTTTTTTCTCTTCTTTCCACTCTTCCATAAATTACCCAGCTTTGTGGAGTGTTAGGGCTTCTCCTGTCTGAGCTGTAGATTTTTCCAGCTCTTTCAAAGTTATCCTTGGCCTCTTGGTTGCTTCTCTGAACAATGTCCTCTTTATCTGGTCCTCTGACTTTTGGTAGATTGCCTTCTCTAGGCAGAGTTGTGCCTGTGCATTATTTTTCCATATTTTAATAATGAATTTAATGATGGTCCATGGGATGAAGTTTGGGATATTTTTTTTATATAATCAATACTTTTCCAGAACTTTGTGCCACACTTGTTTTGATAGCTCCTTTGTCTTCATGATGCTGTTTTTTGTTTGTCTTTTAGGTATGTTCTCTAACAAACCAGAACAGGTGTACTTATATTGAGATCATGTGACAGTTTGACACAGATGGACTCCATTCAAAAATTCAATAATTAAATATTATGATTTCTGATGGCAACTAGTTGCACTGGAACTTAGATAGGGGTTTCACAGAAATGGGGTGAATAACTCTGCAGACACATTTTACTTTAACTGTTGCATTTTTTTGTACTGTAAATAATTTAGCAAATTATACTGATTTTTCCGACTTCAATTTTATTGGATACTATATTCAGCAGTATATATACTGTGGCTATAGTGGTTGTGGTTGGCTATAGCTTATTCTTCAGTGAAGCTAGAATGAACACAAATAAGCACATCTGCCACATTACATTCAGTAAATCAGTTGAGGACTTTATGAAGACTTTAAATTTTCTATAACCAAATCCATGTTCACATAACAGAAATATCCATCAACAGCAAGCAGAGAGAGTTTGTGCATGTGGCAAATGGTCTTGTGGCGTGAGCAAACAAGTTTGTTTTTAACCAAGCAAAAACAAAATGAAATAGGGAAGTCTGTACATTGTCAGTATTGTTTGTTGGTATGTTGTATGACTGGAAAAACCTTATTATTAATTTTATTATTATTCAGTTTTGTCCAGAGGAGAATGGAGTCATAGCCACTAGCCAGTTATTTGGTTATCATTAAAATATGGAAGAAAAAAACTCTAACTATAAACAAACAAGCAAATAAATAAACAAACTATAACATTTGTATCAGTGAAGCAAATGACAGCACATTTAAGGGTTATTTAAGATCTTTAACAACCTGTGTTGTACAGTGCATTCAGAAAGTGTTCAGACCGCTTCATTTTTTTCACATTTTTTATGATGCAGTCTTATGCTAAAATGCTTTCATTTTTTTTCACATCAATCTACACTCCATAACCCATAATGACAAAGCAAAAAGCAGATTTGTGATAACTTTGCAATTTTATTAAAAAGAAAAAACTGAAATATCACACTGATATAAATATTCAGACCCTTTGCTGTGACACTTGAAATTTCTCTGGATCATCTTTGAGATGTATCTACACTTTGATTGGAGTTCACCTGTGGCAAATTCAATTGATTGGACATGATTTAGAAAGGCACACACCTGTCTATATAAGGTCTAACAACTGAAAATGCATATCAGAGCAAAAAACCAAGCCATGAGGTCAAAGGAACTGGCTGCAGAGCTCAGAGACAGGACTGTGTCGAGGCACAAATCTGGGGAAGGCTACAAAAAATTTCTGCTGCATTAAAGGTTCTAAAGAGCACAGTGGCCTCCATAATTCTTAAATGGAAGACGTTTGGAACAACCAGGACTCTTCCTAGAGCTGGCCGTCCGGCCAAACTGATCAATCGGGGGAGAAGGGTCTTGGTAAGAGAGGTGACCAAGAACCCAGTGGTCACTCTGGTTGAGTTCCAGAGATCATGTGTGGAGATGGGAGAAACTTGCAGAAGGTCAACCAAGGTCATTGCAACACTTCACCGGTCTGGGCTTTATGGCAGAGTGACCAGTGACCTCTCCTCAGTGCAAAACCCATGAAAGCATGAAAATATGAAATTGGACATTTTTTTTGCATATTACAAGTGGGCTTTCATCTGTCTTGGCTTCTATTTTAATTTTATGCATTACTCACCTTGTTATTCCATAAAGTATGACTCATCCAATAACAAGACATTATACTTATTGTATAACAGGACTCTGGATAATGTAATTCAATTTGGCACAAGTGACATTTTTAGAATTAGATTTTTTTCATTAACAATATCAAGTTTTGGGAGTTGAGGCATTCAGTGCACTGACATGCAGTCTCTTTTGAGATTTAACAGCAAATTATAGTGAGTTTTATCTTGTGACTGGCAGAAACATTACTGTTGACTTTCATTATGCCATATGGGTTTGGCATAAAGGTTTGTATGGGTTACATTTCAACAAGCCATAGGCTGTCTACAATGTCCTTAGAGACACAAATATATTAGACTAGTTGTTCATGAGAATTAAAATCTAATATTATTATATTTTATTATCAATCCAATCTCCTCTCTCTCTCTCTCTCTCTCTCTCTCTCTCTCTCTCTCTCTCTCATTAGCTGGTTGCTAAGGGATTATGCAGTAGCCTATTCTCTAGGATAACTTTGTGGATTTCTATAGAATGCTGTCAAATGATAAATAGCGATCTGTGGAGAGTGGCATAGGTTTCACAGGTCTTTTTATGACACTGAAATTACGGTGCAAGGAAAAGTCAATAAACTTATCCCATTAAATGGATGAGAATGTTCAAAGAACTAGCTGTACTTTCACCATACAGGAAATATGTTATAATGTCAAAGCGATCATTACCAGATAGGCTGTGCTCAACCTAAGGCTCCAGTCCCTGTAACTAGAGAGAGACTGTTTTAAGTAAAGAGACCTAAAATATAAAAGCACTTTTACCATAGCAGAGAAATTTTGAACAAATATGATCGAGTTTATTCACATAAAGAAAAGTTTTTAACTGCATTTTCTCTCTGGACAAAAATGGCCCAAAATCTACTACTATGCTTGTGTGGCATTTAAGTTTTGGGCCAAAAGGCGACACAACTGTAACCATTCAGCTTCACTATAGTTGAGTTTTAGCTATTTTCTGTTAGTTAGCTTTGGTTGAGTTTATCATTTCCATTCCATGGTGATATGTGGACCAGATGAAGTCATGAAGTGTGGACCATCATTGGGCCAGTACTAATTTGGATGGAAGCTGGAAGTTAACCCGTCTCTAAATTCTGAAAGAACCAGCAAACTGGCAACCTCAAACAGAAGCTGAATCAGAGAAATCTTTCAATCTTGAAATTTTGAGTTATTTTTATCTGCATGAGCATATGTTGCCAGAAGTAATTTTTTGCAAATGAGTTAATGATGGACGGAGTGGAGAAACTGGTTGTCATTTTCACAAAAATGGATGATTTCTATATTACTCCGTTGCACAACTCAGTTGCATGTGTATATTCATCCACATCTGCCAAACTGCCTTGTGTGGAATCAAATGTTTAGTAAAGCTCACGTTAACACAAATGAGTGTGGCTACCATGTCACGTTTAACCAAACAGGCGAGGCCTTAAGGAAAGACTTCCCCATACCCAAATCCATGCAAATGTCAAAGGAACATCCCCTCAGTTTCTCACAGCACAGAAACAATGTATGTCTCAATTTAGTGTTATTGATTACAAAACTTGAGAAAACAGAGCACCACATAAAACGCCTGATGCCTTGAGTGCTAGCAACATATGCACTGCAAATGGCTCACTTTTACCAGGCATTTTCCAAAAATCACTGAAAACTGCAGTTTTTATAACGAAAAGAAAACCTTGCCAACCGTTGTGTCTGTTTTTAAAGAGAAATTTTGGATCTAAAAATTGGAATCCCTTTTCAAACCTCCCTTTGACAGGAAAATTGCTAAAAAGGTTGTTAGGAACCAACCAGCTGACATGTGTACTTGAAAAATACCTGGAAA